CCCCCTTGCTGAGAGCTCGCAGACAGAAATGAGGAGGAGCTTTTGTTGCTGAATGTGAACAGTCTGACAGCCTTAAGCCCAACCTGGGCATTCTCCTAGAGATTTGGTGATGTTTGTGTTGTATGTCCACATGTTGTTTAGGCTCTGCAGGTATGAGGAACTTCCTGGTGGGCTTTAACAGAAGACTCACTACCTAATATCTTTGTTGAATCCGCTAAAGGCCTTTTCTGATTGGTGAGAGATAGTGTTTTTAACTGTGCGTGTGAATGAATGCATGTGTATGTGGTTTTGTGTGTGTCTAAGTCATATTTCTCCAAAGAATTTGGCTGAAATTTTAATTGTCTTTTTGTTGTTAGATAGAAAATCTATCCTGGCAGAAGACTGATGTTCAAAGTGTCATAGGTGACCAAGGGGGAGTTCAAGCAAAGATTTAAAATAACTTATCTGTCATAAGGAAAGAAAAAAAGGCTTTTTGCTACTGTCCAGATTCTTTGCCTTGCTGAACACAGTAAATCAGGACTTGGAGGAAGGGTCTCATTTGTACTTTGTATGAGGTTAAGATAGCACATACAGAAGTGTGGTCCATGAATATATATACCTGATAGGGGTATTTTCCCAGACTAGCCTTCATGTACAGTTCAGTGTAACCACTGATTGCCTTATTTTTTTTATTAGGCTCTTTTGGAGGGAGAATCTCTGGTTGCACACCAACATGCCTAACATGCATTGGCAGACCATAACTTACAAGGTGGGAAACACGTGCTAGTTCCAGAGCATGAGGGCTGAATGTATGATTTGTGGGCCAGCACCGCGTTCTCTTTGTAGGGCCAGTGATGTGCTCATTGGATTAATCAAGACGAGTCATTTTACAGCCTCTAAGAAGCAGTTTCAGCCAGGCTACTTTACCAAACACAGGTTAACTTAGTGCCCTGCCCCATTAGTGACCTCATATTCTTTCAGTTTGACTCCATGTCTGTAATACTCAGCTACTGAAGGCATTGAATACAGGTTTAAGGTCATACTGTCCTGTGATCTTTTGCTGTGGAGCACCAAAGGCTTTTGTCTGTGCCTGTAGTAGGTGTAGACTGGTACCCATCTCTTACTGATACCTCAGATGCTGGCAATGAAGAAATCCTGTGTAGGCAGTTCACCTGTTCTAGAGTTCTGTTTTTAATTTGTAACTGCACAAACACTTTCAGAAAACAAATAATGGACTTTTATAATTTTATTCCTAGAAGGCATTTATAAATTTAAGCAAAAAATAATGGTACTTGTCAAGCCCCTTGCTTTACAGATATGCCAACAGGCCTATGTGTAGGTTCATGGCTAGAAAACACTGCATTCTGCAAAAGCCAGTCTTGTGCCCTGACTCAAGTTTTATTGTTGTAATAAGTTTGTTCCTCCCTTTAAGATGTGTAACGTTCCTGATTTCTTTAATAGCTAAAGGAAATGCAAGTGTTTGTGATGTCAATGCCTACATTAGGGAAACAACATATCTGATAATGTTTGATTCCATGTGGAAGGTAGATAATGCTGAAAGTATCCGATTCTGGCCTTTACCTTCCCCTCACAAACTATAAACTAATGTTCTAACTGTTCCTGCAACTTAAAGTCGTTGATGTTTTTAATGAAATGAAATACTGGTAGTTAAAGCTGATTTGACAAATGACAGATGTTGGATTGGAGGGGAAGGTGTTGAGCTGGATTAAAAACCAAAACCCAAGCCCTTTTGAAGAACAATAAAAAATATTTTACATGCTATATGTATAACTTTGCATTTTTCCCCCCTAGTTTTACTCTGACTTATAATGTACTATTTGTCCTATACTATGACTCTGCAGCCTTAATTGAGGAAAAAATAGCAGAGGGCACCTGGCTGCAGACCGTCATACAGTGTAGACAAAAATGGGGGGAGCTTAATTATGAGCAATGTCCAGTAGGCACAATATTCAGCACTTGGACATAGTGCAATAAAGTTCTTGCAGTAAAATGTCTCTTCCCTCTGGCTCTTGATGAATTTATTGCAGTTCGTTAATGTTAAGTGCTGTTCTTTAATCTCATCTCTAAAGGCTTTCAGACAAGTCTGTCCATGCCCCTTGTATTACTAATCACCGTTCAGTACTACATGGCTTAAACTTGCTGGTGGGTTTGTAACTATTGGGAAACACAGTTCTACCTTTTGAGAAGAGCAAGTAATGCTGCAGATAGCAACTGTTCTCCTGTGATCAAATTACCTGTTAAAACAAGTAAATATATTTAAAAAAACCAAACAACCAAAAAGTTTCTGGAAACTTTCCCAAAAACTGTAAAAGAGCTATTGCAAAACTTTCTGTTGTGCCCTGAACAAGACTAGACACCATGCCACCTGGCAGTGTTTGGGGATAACAATGAGAGACTTTCTGCAGTCTTGGATCCTAGTCAGTTCCCCTCCATGGGTAGTGGAATGCCACTGGATAGATGCGTATAATTTATTTAAATAATACTAAGGTGTTATTTTCCAAGCTTCATGGATAATGTTTCCAATCAAATTTATTTAAATGCCATCAAAGAAATATTACTTGCAAATCAATATCATATTTCCAATATTTATCAGATTTTCCCACTAGTGTACTAGAACAAGTTTTTGGTCCCTATTGGCAATGAGATAATAAAGCGCTTTGACCGTAAGACTGGAAGCAGTAACTGTGAAGCTTAATCTCCTCTTCCTGTGCGGATGTCTTTGCAGAGTTTTTTTTTTTAACATCAAACTCTTGCTTGATTTTTCAAAGTTTCTACCTTTTGGTTACCATGCACAAAAGTGAAACATCTTGCTAACTAAAAATACCATACACTTAATTGCATATGAGATATTCTTGTATGATATAAGCTTCTTGTCTCTTGTTAATTTTTTTTCACTCCCATCTCAGCAACTTCAAATACTGATACTTCCTTTAACTGGAGATAATACTTATCACATGTGTATTTATATCACTCAAGATACTGCTTTTGAAGTAATTAAGAATGATATGCAGGGTGGAGTGACTCTCCATGGGTAAAGAAACTAGGAATCATGGTATGCATTGCTGCAGTAGCGTGTGTTCTGTTAACTAAATAATTATAAATAATTTAATTTAGTGCTAATACTTGCAAATCAATCCTAGGGATGATTTTAAGAGAGCATTTTAAGGATGTGTTACTTGGGGGATGGGAAGAGTAGCTTTTTGTCAGTAAACAAATTTTGAAGTAAAATGCCAAGGTTTCGATCAAACCTGTTGCCTCTCTGGATTTGTGTGGTGTCTCCGCTCTAGATGAAAACGTTCATGTCCTTGCTGAGGATGGCCTGAGTCACGCTGTCAGTTTGCGATACTGTGCTGTCCACACGTGTTCTCTGACAAAGGCATAAAGGCTGCTGAAGCTAATGTGTTGGAGCACACAGTTATTTGCAACTGAGCTGCATAGTAAGTTACTAAGCTCTGGTAACGGGGTTGCTGTAATCTATCAGGCTGGTAGGTTGACTTGACTGAATGTGCAGATGTAAAGTTGGGGGCCTTAAGGATCCCCCTGACTCTTCTGCAAAAATGGGAATGTCAAGGAATCCTTCCTCAAACTGGATTTACTTTTGATTCGGCCCCGGAAGAGATGTAATAAATAATACTTTTCACAGGTGTATCTAGAATGCTTTTTGTTTCAGGCTGTCCAAGAGCTATATAGGTATCAGTTTCCTTGGTAGTCTTATGTGAAATACTTAAATACCATTTTTGCAAAAACTGAAACAAAGGCATGGAACCAAATCTTAAGAGCTTCCCTTGTTCCAACCCCTTTTTTCATCAGAGTTTTATTGGTGCAGATGTGGAAGGCTTCCTGTGTACGCTCTGGGACAGGATCCACACATCCTGGCCTTCTGCACATGTCTTTTGACCACTGAGCAGATCCCTATTTCAGGGGTGTGGCAGCAGCTACCTTGAGCATGCAAGCACTTTGCACGGTTTGTGCTGTGCCTGGCACGGAGCTTGCCTCTTGAAGAAACAGTTGTGGGTGAAATTTTGAGGCTGCTATTTTGGCAGTGGCTGCAATAGTACTGGCAGGACAGCTAGAATGTGAGGTGGCTATGTCTTTGCCCTTTCTTACAGGGCTTAACTCTGTAGATGGAGACAAACGAGGGACACCAAGAGCCAATGCCAGAGGGAAATCCCTGATCCGAACCTGTGGATGGATTAGAAGAGCTCAGGGGCTGAAAAGCAGGTAAGGAATTGCTTTTTCTCTGCCCAGTTAGGGAAACCAAAAGCACTGAGTAATGATGTGACTTCTTTAGGGCTGCACAATGAGTCAACAGAGGGGGCAAAGCTCCTAGTCCCAAAACTTCTGTCTAATAGTGCCTGAGAAGCTGCATTGCTTGGAAACGGGCTGGGGAGACTTGCTGAATGCTGAAGACTGGAGTCCTTTATTGAAACAATTCTCACACTGACAAGCACCCTGAGGGGATGTGCATGCAATGAGTTGGAGGATGTGATGTTGTGAAAGGCCCCCTACTCCCAGCCAGGCAGGGAGGCAGGGGCTACTAACATCTGCAGTATTTTGCAGAGTAGAGAGCACAGCATGAACCCCTGGCTGAAATAATATTCAGAAAGCCCTTGCGTTATCTTTGGCAAGGCCGTGTGTGCAGAGCTTGTGACCTTCCTAGACTACTGTTTTGTTTCTAGTTTTTATTGTCCTTGCTGTTGTTATCCAAAAGGCTGTTGGATCATTAGCTTGCTGGGTGGCACAGTCTTGCTGAGCTGGTTATTCTAATTGATTAGACTTCATGCTTTAGGGTTCCTTTAGCTGTGGATAACTCTACATACAGTCTAACTCTTGTGCTCCTTTGTTTCTGATGTAAACAATTTTCAATAGTAAAAAGGAAGAGGACATTCTTGCATAGAATATAAATGGCTTTAAGACCCAAACAAGAACTTCCTAGAGAAAAGGGCAACGGAGCCCATCAGTTGGGCTCCGAGCAGGGTTGGGAGAAATGTTTAAACTAGCAGCAGCAGCTTGTTGACTTCTAATCCTTGCTGCTGCTCAGCCCTGCTGCCTGGGGTCCCAGGCTGTCTGGGAGCTTGGGTAGAGAAGCAAAGTGCTAGGAATCCAGACAAGCCTCCTGCTTTGCTGAAAACTATGATGGGATCGATGTGTTCCTGCAGAAAGCTTCAATTCCATCGTTTCAGCATTTAGCAGGAGGGGAGCAGCTGTTCTGCTGGAAAACCTTTGGCTAGTTCTAAGAACGGTACATGCTTTTTGCTTTTGTTACTGGGAGGCAGGAAGAAAATCAGTGGGTCTCCTGCCATCAGATCAGGCGCAGGAGAGAGAAAATGCAGATTTGATAGACTCCCTAGGGATGGAGGGGGCTGGCTGATGCCACTGGGGAATCAGCTGGGAGTGTTTTGTACTGCAGAGCACCTGCTGTGTGACCAGTGTTGGAATAGCTTATTGTGGGGTAGATGTAAGCCATAGATTTCTTTCCATGTCCTTGGACACTGAGAACAAGATGAATGATAGCAAAAATGTTTTCAGGCCAATGGAAAGAAATCTGGAGGAAGAGCCACATAAATGCACAGCTTAATGATATTTAGCCTCTCTCTTCACAACTGCTTCTTTAGCTCCTCCACAATCCTGTCTGGTTACACTGTAAGCTACTTGGGGCAGGGACCTTTCTTTATGGCTTTTGGGGAGTGGTTTTTTTTGGTGTAATTCTGATTTGTATTCGTGACATCTTTGCAAGTGGGATTCAAAGTCAGTCCTGATCTTGCAGCCGTAGAGTTGGGCAAGAAAAGATTCCATTAAAAAAAAAAACGTTGTCAAGGAAACTGCTTTCACAGTACCACTCTGCGCAGCCAATAAGGCACAAAGAAAAGTCTCACCATAGCAGAGCAGAGTACAGCACGGGGTAGGCTCCACAAA